GGCTCAGGTCATGGTCCCAGGGTCCTGGGATCGAGCCCCACATCGGGCTCCCTGCTCAGCAGGAAGCCTGCTTCTCTCTCTCCCACTCCCCCTGATTGTGTTCCCTCTCTCGCTGTGTCTCTGTCAAACAAATAAATAAAATCTTTAAAAAAAAAAAAAAAGTTCATAACTTTTATGAAGTGTGGAAAGTATTTGAAATATTGCTTATTTTCTTCATAAATAAAATAAGAAAACTTCGAGCACTGATATTACTGTGCCTAATCACTAGGCAGGGCACACAACATCTATGAAGTCAGGCTATAGGCAATTTTCAGTGGGAATAAGTAGCTGTTTCCCCCTCTTCCAAATTCTCCACCTTAAAAAATGACTAAAGGTAGAGGTGATCTCTTGAAGGCCTCTAGCAAATACCTTTTGAATGGTTTGACATGGCTTGGAAATTTATTAACGCTTCAAAGAAAAATAACAGACACACAATTGTATATATTCACTTCAGAGAAAAACATATAAAATGCTAAACTGGTTTTTACAAAACTGCATTTGGGAGAATTTATGGATTGCTGAAAAATATAATTAATAATTACCAAAAAAAGGTGACTAAACTTTGTGATGTTAAAGGTGTATTTGGAACGTTGTTTTTTTTTTCCTCAAACTATGCATATTCTTGTTCCATGCCTTATTCTGCACACCTCCATCAGACAGATCAGAAACCACATATAGGATCAGGTCTCTTCCACTGTAAGGTGTTAATGATTCCTCACTGCTTTCAAAAGATAGTCTGGACTTTTCAGTATGACATTCATGGCCCTGCTCTTTTGGCTACAACCTGTCTTTCAAACCTTACAAGCTTTTATCTTTCCCACATCAACCTTATGCTCAATTAATTTGGTTTTAAAACCTGATACCTGACCAGGATGCTGTCAGCTATGAAAATTCTATCCATCCTTCAAGACCCAGATCATATTTCACTTCCTCCTCTGATCACTATTCAGAAGTGAAACCTCTCTACACTACAGCATTGCCTTCGTATCATTCACCAATCATGTCACATTGGCCACATAGTGTCTAATTTTCCACTCCAGGCAGTTAGTATCCTAATGGCCAGTTCTGCACAGCACTTAACACATCAAGAAGACAAGTATTTATTAAGTGATGAAAACATTTTCTCAAGTTTACAAATTTTTAGATATTCAGAAAAACATAAAAGATCCCAAATTCCCTTGAAATATATAGGCAAAGAAATTCATACCTGACAAATCACGATGTTTGATGGGGGGAGAAAGGGCGGGAGTTCTGCTATCTATGTAGACCTGCTGCTATTTTCAAAACATTCATTACAGAAAGAGGGGTTTCTCTTTTTGACGCAATACATAAATGCGTCAAATTAACATTTTGTACACTTTAAATTTATACAACATAATATGCCAAATATATTCAATAAAGAGAGTGGTATCTAATTTACACAGAAAATTTTCTCTAAATCTAAAAATTTTTAAATCCCTTACACCTTATACCTGTGTTAAAATAACAAAGAAAGCACCAATGCCAGTCCTAATTTTCCACATCCTATTCTTCAGAAGAGGGTTCTTACTTAACAAACGACAACAACAAAATCCATCTTTCTTCAGCGACTGAGGATTTCTCCTAGCCAAATCCAGGTCTTGCCATAATTAGCTGGATTTATGTTTCTTAAAGGAATATTGAGTAACTGGTGTAACCAATATTCCTCAAATCTGAAACAAATGAATTTAGTACCAACTTTTAAGGCAGACACTATCAAATTTAAATTATCTTTTTAAGGGGCACCTGGGTGGCTCAGTCGTTAAGTGTCTGCCTTCGGCTCAGGTCATGATCCCAGAGTCCTGGGATCGAGCCCCACATCGGGTTCCCTGCTCAGTGGGAAGTCTGCTTCTCCCTCTCCCACTCCCCCCGGCTTGTGTTCCTGCTCTCACTGTCTCTCTCTCTCTGTCAAATAAGCAAATAAAATCTTTAAAAAAA